AATCTGAAGTTGTTTTTGATATTCGATGACGAAAAACGTGGAAAAATCTTCAAAATACTTCTGAAAAATCAAGTGATGCTCCCATAACACTTTCTTGCATAAAATATAAATGTCTAACCACTGTTGTTGATACAAACAAAGAATGGAGTTCCTTCTCTATCAGGTTATGTATGATACATGTGCTTTTTCTTCAGTTAGGGCGATTTTACTAGTAGACTTCTCCTTGCCCTTTGATAGCCTTTTCGAACTGTAGATCACTGTATACTAGTGGCAAAATAGAGAATAAAAGTCTGTATAGAGCTTTTAATATTAAAAAATTTTGCAAAATTCCGAATCCGAATTCTTGTTGTTTGAAAAGAAAACATTTTTACTATAAACTTCGGTTTCGAGTTCTAACCATGCATTCCTCAAGTCTGTATTGTGTATAATTTGTTTAACGGATTTGTTTGCATTTTTTTGTATAGATAGTGGAAATATTCGCTGATCAAAATGACATGATAGCTAAATTATCAAAAGATCAAGTTATTCGTGCAAAGTTGGATGCAGAAACTTTATCGATAACTATTTATAATAGTACAGAAAAGTCGCATACAAATGTCGATGGAAGTTTTATGTGGTCACAATTATACCTTGAGACATTACTACGAATGCCACAAAGACCATTTGCAAAAGATGAACTGGTTCAAATTTGCAGACAACACTATCATGGAAATGAATCGGAGTTAATAAAGCTTGAAAATTTCCATCAAACTTACACGCCGAACGATGCAGTTAAATGGTACACAAAAGATTGTTTCATCTATCGATCACTAAACAAAGCTTTACGAGTTCAAGACATCGATTTATTGTTTGCATTTGGATTTATGATTCTCGACATTTTCAATCAGCTAAAACTTGAAAACAATCGTTTCCATTACACAACAGGAGAAACCATTATCCGTTGCTACCGTGGTCAAGCAATAGCGAAAGAAGAATTAAACCAAGTAAAATCAAATATCGGCCACTTTATATCGATGAATTCATTTTTATCAACTACTCAAGATCGGACTGTGGCGCTCATATTTGCTCCAACCTCGAATGAAATATATGAAAAAGTTCTGTTTGAAATCCAAGTTGACATGAATCTAATGCAAACGATGCCGTTCGCCGATGTGGCACATTTGAGTTATTTCGATCAGGAAAAAGAAATATTGTTCATGTGCGGAGCGATATTTCAGATAAAAAATGTTATTAACAATGAAACAGAAGGTTTGTGGATAGTTCAATTAGCTTTATGTAGTGAAACGAGCAATGAATTAAAAGATCTGTTTGATTATCAAAAACAAAGAATGGCAGACACAACTGATTTGATTTCAATTGGCAAATTGTTAAGAGAAATGGGCAAATTTGATAAAGCCAAAAGATATTATCAACGATTTCTTTGTGAGCTGTCATCCAATGATCCAAACATCTCGGTTTGTTACTACGGTCTAGGAGTTGTTCACGATCGAGAAGACAATTATGATGAGGCCTTGCATTATTTCAAAAAAGCTTTGGATTTTCAGCTGACCGTCTTATTCTTAAACGATTCCGTATTTATAGGTAAAATATATGGAAGTTCTGGCATTGTTTATTATCATAAGCACGAATATGATTTAGCTTTAGAGCATTTCGAAAAATCCCTTAATATTCTCTTACGCACAATCGGTCAAGATCATGGGGATACGGCATTGATTTACACAAACATTGGCAGAACTTATCAAGCTCAGAAAAGTTACGATTTAGCATTGGAAAATCAATCAAAAGCATTGGCTATAAGACTTAAAGTATTACCGCCTGACCATCCTCGACTGGCTAGATCCTATCTATTTATTGGTGATGTGTACGGCGACAAACAAGAATTTCAATTGTCGTTAATCAACTACAAAAAAGCACTCAAGATACAACAGAAATCTCTCCCAGAAAATTATATTGCTATCGGGATAACATTTCATCGTATTGGTCGCATGAGCACAAACGCACGTGAATATCAATCAGCGTTGGAAAGTTACATTCTAAATTTCATCCTTTCAAACTGAAAGTTTTGTGCAGCAACTAGGTCTTAATTGGTAGCCTGTATTTTTTTTGTTAGAAATATTTTTTTCCTTCGCAAACGAGATTCGAAAAATCGAGGACACTTTCTAAAAAGCTTGATTTTTAGATGGTTTTTGATTGGTGCAAATTTTGTAAAATCTACCGATATTCACGAAAGCACTAGTTTTCCAATCACAAAAACAGTCAATCCGATTTGGTCCTCGTGTCGTAAATAAAATTTCAGCTTGATCTAACGTACGCTGGGAGAAAGAAGAGAAATACGTCGACTGTTTTCTGGGGTGAGGGTGAGGATTTTTCGTTTTTCTTGTAAAATCTCTTAATAATACCTGGAGAATCAGGTAATTCACTCTTGCTAGATTGTGTAGCAATAGACTCGACAGTAGTCATATCAGTGTTAAAAAACAGAAAAATGTGTGCAGACTGCTTTTCAAAATACTGTCGCACGAAAGTATTTCTTTTTCTTTTCTTACGTCTTTTTTATCGCCAGTCCAGTATGGATTACATCATTCTATTTGCTAACTTTGTTTGTCTTGCCGTTTTCTAGGTCTTCAATCTTCCCATATGACACGATGTTCTACTTAATATTCTCAAATTTCGCTCCCTCCCTCTCTCTCATGGTGTATAACAAATATGATTAATACCCTCATAATAATCTAAAGTTACACGTGACAGTTTATCAAGATTATCGAGTCCTTCGCCTCGAGTCCGAGTCACCGAAAAATGCGGCTCGAGTCCGACTCACGACTCGGACTCGCCCATCTCTGCCCGCCTCATGAACTACTTCTTAAATTAAAATTTCTATCAAGCTCACATAAATAATGACAAGCAAAGAAGTAACTAAGCGAAGACGCTAACCCATGTGGATACTTGGTGAATAACAAACAGAAACTGTTACTAGACGCGTTTCTGACTGCTATTAGCAGAGATAGAGAGTGATACGAGAACAAGTGCCTTGGCTTAAGACTCCTTGAACCCAACTTAAAAACTTTTA